ACTGGGACCCTGACAAGGGAGGTCGTTCAGGGCGTGGTGAGCTTTTTCAAAATGGTCTTGTGCATATTGTAGGGGCACATACGAGGACCAGAAAACTGAGGTTCATTTTCGCTGCGCGCTTCCACGAATAAAAAAAAACGTAAAAAAATAGGTCGATGGTTCGGATCCCACCGAGGACAAAATTTTGCTTTTCTACAATTTTTCATTTTTTGGATCCATGTTTGTCTAAATAATTGGTCCTAACAAAAACATGCACGATAAACTGAACAATCCTACTTTTATGGAGCAAAACTGCTTTTTCGTTCGAATTCGTTTGTATGCACAGACTCAGCTCTCGGCGGTATGCCGGTGCCAGATGGCACTGGAACCGAAAATAAAGTCTAGAATCGTGATCAGGACTGTCGATTACCCCTAGGAACAAGTTTTCAGCGAAAAAAATTTTTTGACTTTTTCGGGTTGTAGGTGACCGACCATTTGGTCGGCAGTGTGAGCAGAGTCTCACATCTTCGTTACAGCGATGAAGTATCGTTGGCGCTACGGACACCGGACAACCCAATAAGCAAACCCAAGAAGGTCAAAACAATTGTTTTAACCAAAAATTCGTTTTTAGTGGTAATCAGTGGCCCTGATCACAAATATAACACCTATTCTTGGCGTCCACGCAATTTGGACAACAGAATAGCGCTGAACGTTCCCTATATTGGTGTACATAACGAATTCAGTGGAAAGACGATGTGGCCCCCAAATTGTCTATAATCGCACCACACCAGAATTACTAAATTCGCAATCTGATCCACTGTATAGCCTATGACGATCAACGTCCAGCAACAATCTTGTTCAATAGTGCGTGAAAATCGAAATAGTTGAATAGCACTGACTCATGAGGTACAGCTACTCAGAATGTGCCATAATAATTGGGACAAATATCGAGTTATATTCATGCCGCAGGACACTAATTGGAAGCTGGAGAACAGCCGAAATCTAAAAAATGCAAAAAGTCACGACGCAAGGGGAGCCGAACCATCAACCCCACCCTCACTGTCCGATTGCGAAACCTTCACTCTATCCACTAGCATCGGGGTGCTTCGACCACCCGCTAGCGCTTCTTATCATGATGAAACATTGCAAGAAGCCGTTCACCCTTGAGCACATGACCCAAGTTGGAAGCTCACTTGCGGCGATTTTTCGCTTCGATTCAAATAGCCCCTTTATAAGGACCCCCCACTCAGCAACTGGTCAAAGTTGCAAGTGACCTACGCCGTAAAGAGGCCCAGAACGAAGCAAATTCCAAAGTTTTCTTTTCACTCGTTTTTTACCGTTACTGGAAGCGCGCAGCGAAAATGAAGCATACTTTTCAGGTCCTTGCGTGAGCCCCTACAATATGCAACAAACCGTTTTCGAAAAGCGCACCACGCCCTGAACGACCTCCCTTGTGAGAGACGAATGACTAAGAGGCTTGGATTTCATGCAGACTTCGGGGCTTAGTCAAATAGGGTCTTTTGCCACTGCTCACGTGGCCCACTTCCGGTACATTTGAGTTCCCATACATGAGTCCGGGCACGAGTTTCCACAATTTTTGTTGAGAAAATCAACTACTTTCCCTCAGCAAGTCAGCACCCCTCCATCAGGTATATTTAGCATCCATTTGCCATGATGTTAGTTTTGTCGGCGTTAATGATTTCCAAACTCAGAACTGCGACTTTCTTGATATGTTTTTTGAACAAGATTTTTCAGCCTCATCATAGTATACTCGAAATCCCTTGGAGGTCGTAGGACGGGGAGGTTCGAATATCTGTATCGAACTGAGTTACAGTGGAATATTCCAGTCTGGGACAACTGTCATCTTGTTCTGCGTTGGACAGAGACACGACAGCAATTGTGTCGAGATGAAAATATGGCATCAGAAGCGTAGAAGCCTTAAGGGTAAGTTGAAACATGCGGCCACGCTATGATTCAGGAATCTCGAGTGCACTGAGATGCTGTTTGTCATCAAAGCGTCGCTCACACTCGGTGTGTTCAGAAGGCCGAAAACAATAGGGAGTCCACTAGGGTAAGATCTGATGAATATGTGCGAATAGCCATAAAACAGCGGACATGCGCAACCGAAAATATTTGAAAATTGATTGTAACCTTGGCCATTGCCTATGAAGGCGTAGAACTTGTAATTTCAACGCGCTCGATTTCGCGGTGACTTGGCCTTAACGGGACGCATCTACAAGGTCATGCGCTGACGTTTATTTAAGCTAACAGCTCTCGATACATAATTTTCCTGTAACTTTATCGACGGAAAACACTCTATCATAACTCCTTTGGGTTTATGATGTCTGTAATGGGATACTTGGAACACATCGATTGCCGCTAGAAAAAAGTACGCTCAGTGTTGAGAAAACTGAAACCATGTTACACTTTTTGGGACAACGATCAAATTCGTGATCATCTCCTCGGATATCCTTTCGAGAAAGCTAGACACTTTCTTGTACCCGTAAGAGCAAAATTAGCTGAAAACCCTTTCTTATTCACATTTTTTAGTTGCGAGAAAGTATGCTCATGTGAAAATGGTGGCACGTGTGATCGTCTCACTGGTCAGTGCAAATGCCCTCCAGGATTCACTGGTTTAACATGCAATCAAGGTGAGGCTTTTCTGTTCATTAATACATGGAACACCTCATTTCCTCATTTCGAGAGGATAACTCCAGATGAGTTAGGGGTTTCATTTGGAACGAGAAGTTCGCAGAATCAGAAAAGTTAATAGCGTATCATAACGTTTCTGGAGGTGCTCGACAGAAGTTGTATACATAGATGTGCCGCCCCTAAGGCAGATTGCATTACCCAAAATTGTGTACTGACGCTATTTCATTAAGACATCCAGCTGCTTGCAAGGGTCTCGGAGTTATTCCAATCATAAATATTAACACTACAAGCTGACTCAACTGTTCATACTTATAGTTTGTCCGGAAGGCCGTTGGGGTCCCGGATGCAAAGACAAGTGTCGCTGTGCTAATGGAGCTCATTGTGACCCAGCGACTGGAGAGTGCAAGTAAGTCCCATCATTCGCATCATCTGGTGGAGTTTTTCTTGCTTTGTTTACTTACTGATTTTTCCGCCTTTGCTGCTGATGAAGTTCCAATAAACAAGCAAAAATGAGAGAATGGGTAATTTACTTCTCTAATATAGAGGGCAACTGCTGGTTCAAGTGG